ATAAAAATGGCAGTTCTTTAGTGGAACATTCGTGGTTTGCGTGCAAATCAGGCAGAACTCTCTTATTTTTTTACCTCACACACGCCAAATGTAATCTGTCTACAAGAAACTAAATTGCCAACACCCACATTCACATTAAAAAACTATCAAACTTACAACCAAATATACACCGACAACCAAATCGCCTCTGGGAGCAACTCCATTTTAATAAATAACCAAACACTACACAGACAGTTTCGGTCAGGGTCACCCTACACCGTCCTATAACTATCTGTTCAATATACATCCCTCCAAATTATCCTCTATCTTTAAAAGAACTAATAAACCTCAGAGACCAGCTCCCACAACCCTTCATCATGTTGGGAGATTTTAATGCCCATAGCCCTCTTTGGGGAAATGAACCAACTGACACTAAAGGTAAAATCATAGATTTCTTAACAAAAACCAATACTAGTATTTTTAACGACAATTCCCCAACATTTCAAAATTCAAATGACCTAAATTTTTCATCCATAGATATAACCCTATGTGATCCTGACCTAATTCCAGACTTTCAGTGGTCGGTCCTGGACGACCCACACGGATCGGACCACTTCCCCATCAACCTAATTCCAGACATTCCACACCGAACTCCTATCCCGGACCGTTTCAATCTTAAAAGAGCGGACTGGGATGGGTTTCACATGGAATGTCTAGAGAAACTCAATCCATCTCAAACACAAACACAAACTTTTGAACGATTTCATGAAACCCTTCTCGAAATCGTTAAAAAACGCATACCAAAATTATCCACCAAACCCCGAAAAAATAAATGTTGGTTCACTGAAGACTGCCAAAAAGCTATTGCGGCCAAAAAATCAGCTCTCAGGAAGTTCGTCAACTCTAAAACAAATGAAGACCTCATTAATTTAAAAATTGCGCGAGCCCAAGCACGCAGAATAATCCGAACAGCCAAAAAAAACATCTTTTCGAAATTATGTCTCTAAAATAAACAACAACACACCAATGTACAAAGTCTGGAAGATGATAAAGAAATTAAAAGGTACTGAAAAAGACACAATCAAACACATCCTAAAACCGAATAACTCCTTCGTAGAAACCGAAAAAACAGTAGTTGACTGTATAGCATCAACTCTTTCAGGAAATTCCTCTACCCACAATTACAACCCTGAATTCAAAAAGTAAAGATGTCTTCTGAAAAGACAACTGTTGATTTTACCTCTTCAAATGAAGAAAACTATAATTGCAGCTTTTCTCTTAATGAATTAAAATGTAATATTGCATAAAATGTAACTATCAAACACAGCTCCAGGCCCTGATCAAATACACAACGAAATCATCAAACGTCTTCCAGACAAAACACTCCTACTTGATATTTACAATGAACTCTGGCATTCTCAACAATTTCTGAACAGTTGGCGTCTTGCCACTATTATACCAATCCCAACACCAGGAAAAGATCACTCTAACCCATCAAACTACCATCCCATAGCCCTTACAAACTGTTTCTGCAAACTTATGGAAAAACTTATTAACAAACGTCTAATGTGGTTTCTCAAAACCTCAAACTCCTTATCCAATTTCCAATGCGGTTTTCGCAAAAATCGCTCTACTATTGACCATCTCGTCCGACTTGAAACTTTCATTCGAAAAGAGCACCTTGTGGCTATTTTTTTCGCCTTAGAAAAAGCCTTCGACACCACATGGAAACATGGTATTTTAAAAGACCTGCGGGACTTGGGCTTACGCGGAAATCTTCCCGAATTTATACAAAACTTTTTGGAAGATCGATCATTTCAAGTAAAAGTAGGTTCAACCCTATCAAATTTACACACCCAAGAAGAAGGCGTCCCCCAGGGAAGCATCTTATCGCCCATTCTTTTCAAAATCAAAATCAATTCCATCACAAGAACCCTTCAAGACAATATTGACTGCTCACTTTACGTTGACAACTTCCTGATCTGCTATAAATCCAAATCAGATCACATTGAACGTCAGCTTCAGCTTCAGCTTCAACTCCATAAACTGGAAACTTGGGCAAACGGGCACGGGTTCAAATTTTCCACATTAAAAACAAACTTGGTACATTTTTGTCTGCGACACCCAGATTTATATTTGTTTGGAGAGAAAATTCCTGTTAAAAAACAAGCTCGTTTCCTGGGCGTAATCTTCGACAATAAACTTTCTTTCCTACCACACTTGAAAGACCTAAAGACGAGGTGTCAGGGTGCTCTCAACGCCTTAAAAGTATTATCCAATCCTGAATGGGGAGGAGATACTGAAATACTTCTTCAACTTTACCGTTCCCTTGCCCGTTCCAGGCTGGACTATGCCAGTCCTGTTTACGGATCAGCCAGAAAGTCTTACCTTAAAATTTTAGACCCTGTTCAGAACCAAGGCCTTCGCCTTGCCCTAGGCGCTTTCCGTACTTCACCTGTAGAAAGTTTACAGGCAGAAGCGCATGAACCATCTTTAGAACTTAGAAGGAAATAACTCTCTTTTCAGTACGCTTTGAAACTTAGCTCAGTACCCCAAAACCCAGCCCACAAATGTGTCTTTGGCCTTCCCGAAGATCTAAAAACTCTATCCTCCTTAGGAAATAAAGTAAGCCCTTTCGGAATAAAAATCCAGAAGGATCTCAAAGACATTGATATTTCTGAATATATAATCGAGCCATTTGCCATGTCCAGCATACCTCCATGGCATTTAACCAAACCAAACATAGATACTGGTCTTGAAAAACACAACAAAAAGTCTACAGACAAAACTACATACTTAAACTCATACAAACAGCTAATAAATAGATACCCTGAAGCAGAGAAACTCTTTACAGACGGATCCAAAAATGACTCCTCAGTAGGAGCTGCTGCCCTTGCATCGCCACACAGCTTAAGCTTAAGGAAACTCCACCCAGAAGCTTCAGTCTACACTGCTGAGGCTACAGCTCTTGAAATGGCCCTAAATATTAATCAACCAAGTCTACTTTCCTAATCCTTTCAGACTCTCTCTCTTGTCTGAAATCTTTAGAGCGCTCTGACACCTCCGACAACAGAATTTTAAAACTTATCATTAAACTGCATTTTCTACATCAGTCTGGAAAAACTATTACAATAGCTTGGCTCCCAAGCCATGTAGGCATTGATGGCAACAAAGCCGTTGACCAATTTGCCAAAGAATCTCTAAAACTACCTGAAAACAAAAATAGTAAAATCCCTTTCTCTGACATGAAACCGAAAGTAAAAAACCACATCACATCCTCCTGGTCCCAAATTTGGAATCAACAAATACACAACAAACTCCATTACATTCAACCGAAACTTACGCCCAGGAAACCATCTCTACCATGAAGAGAAAAAGTAATTTTTACCCGACTAAAGATAGGACACACACACGTCCTCGAAGGAGAGGAAGCTCCTTTTTGCGTGGCGTGCAACACAAATCTCACAGTTCGGCACATCCTAATGGAATGTGTCGACTTTAATTATATCCTTGAGAAATATTTTAAATGTAAAGATATTAAGACCCTTTTCGACATCATAGAGCCTAGAAGAATTTTAAGTTATATCAAAGAAATTGGACTGTTTAATAGAATGTGAAAATATATAGTTGTCGGTGTCGGTGTATTTGTACATACGGTGTATATATACATACACTGAAATGTGTATTGTATACACAAATGTAAATAAGCCTTTTCCATATTTAAACATTTTTTTTATAAATGTTTGTTCGTCTTTTTAGCATAACAGAAATAGTGTGATCGTTTGCGGTTGCGAGCTCCGAAAGACTCTTTATTAAAAACACGTCTGATTTTGTAGCGGTGAAACCTGATGGCGCTTAAATGACCAAAATTGTGTCGATAGTGCCGTAGAACATCTACCCAATCAATCAATCAATCAATCCGATAACAGAATTTTAAAACTTATCATTAAGCTGCATTTTCTACATCAGTCTGGAAAAACTATTACAATAGCTTGGTTTCCAAGCCATGTAGGCATTGATGGCAACGAAGCCGTTGACCAATTTGCCAAAGAATCTCTAAAACTACCTGAAAACAAAAATAGTAAAATCCCTTTCTCTGACATGAAACCGAAAGTAAAAACACATCACATCCTCCTGGTCCCAAATTTGGAATCAACAAATACACAACAAACTCCATTACATTCAACCGAAACTTACGCCCAGGAAACCATCTCTACCATGAAGAGAAAAAGTAATTTTTACCCGACTAAAGATAGGACACACACACGTCCTCGAAGGAGAGGAGGCTCCTTTTTGCGTGGCGTGCGAACACAGATTTCACAGTTTGGCACAATGGAATGTGTCGAATTTAATTATGTTCGTGAGAAATATTTTAAATGTAAAGATATTATGACTCTTTTTGACATCGTAGAGCCAAGAAAAATTGTAAGTTATGTAAAAGAAATTGGACTATTAGAATATGAAAATATATAGTTATTTTTATCGGTGTATGTATACATACACTGAAATTTATATTGTATATACAAATGTAAATAAGCCTTTTCCATATTTACCAAAAAAATTTTATAAATGTTTGTTCGTCTTTTTAGTATAATGAAAATAGTGTGATCGTGTGCAGTTGTGAGCTCTGAAAGACTCTTACTAAAAAACACGTCTGATTTTGTAGCGGTGAAACCTGTTGGCGCTTAAATGACCAAAATTGTGTCGATAGTGCCGTAAAACATCTACCCAATCAATCAATCTCTTTACAAGTCTGAATTGTTTTTAATATGGCTTAATACATTTATATTGACCCATGAGTCATTGTGTTCGTTGTGTACGAATCACTTGCTACCTTCTGTCTGTGTGGGTGGTTGGCGGGTGCTCTCGTGTGGTTTGCTTCTTCTTTCCTATCAAACATCTATTGTTTGTGGTTGTTACTCTCTTGTAACACCCCTAATCTTCGGCACTTATATGACCTTATTGTGTTGCAAGTGCTGTAAAACACTTACTAAAACTACCTTCTGTCTGTTCGTCCCCAGCTTGTCGCTCCCTTCAGAAAGTCTGCTCAAGTGGACACTGTCCAGGTGCTCACGACCGCTCTCATTGTCCGGAACTGTCACAAGGTCAGAGGGCAGGAGACTGGACTTTTTGTCTATGGACTTAAGGGTGGTTTTATTAGGATGGTGGGGATTTTATAGTGATTGGGGCGGGGGGTTGTATAGGGAATGAGGGGCTCAAATAGGGATGGGGAAAAGGGGGGGGGGGGGTAAGTTAAACTGAAAAGGTTTGGGGTGGGGGATGGTTAATGTTGTATAGGGATGGTGTGGAGGGAGGGGGGGTTTGTATAGGGATGGTTGGGGAGGGGGGGTATGGGCTAGTGGGGCTTGTACAACGATGGCAGGATTTATTTCTTCCAGGATGTCCAGCAAAGTCGTAAACTCGTAAAAAAGTCATGGTCGTAAAGGTCGTAAATGGTAGTAAATTTGCCTTGAAGGTAGTAGAAATTTGGAAAACGGTCGTAAATTAGCCTGCATACTGAGTGATGAAGCCAGCAAGACTTGTCAGTGAACCCTAGCCGCTGTACATGACTCCGTATTTGCCGGTCGCGATTGTGGTATAATATTCGTTCACCTTTTCCCCGTCCGAGAGTACGTTTCACGCGAAAAACCGGCTATGGTGGCAGGTGGAAGTGTATGTGACACCGAGGCTCAATCGGGAAAATCGAGATCTACTTTCGCTTTCGTTACCACCCTTAAATTTGGCGAAGATAAACTGATAACGCAACATTTGTGATATGCAGGTTGTAAAGTATAAATGCTGTGTCGCCGTGCAAGTAAAATTTAATCATTACTCGGACTCTTCACCGTGCTGTCACTTGTGTGTGTGTGTGTGTCGGTGGGGGGGGGGGGGGGGGGGGGGAAAAGAAAATGCAAGCGTCGTCCGATTTTTAGATTGTCGGGTTCGCCAACGTGACAGGTCAGTGAACCTTCGCGTGAGGCACTACAAGGTACGGCATCGGTGAGCACTGGCGTTTGTTGGGGTCGCCAAAGTTCATTAAAAAGTCTGAGCGTTGCGAAGTATAGGACTACGGAGTAGGGAAGGGATTTAGAATATTGATTTTTTTTAGAGATACGCTCGGGGGAGAGGGGGATCGGCTGAAGGCAACACCAGAGGACAAAAACTAAGCAAATTTCAGAATTTTGATTAGATTTAGAGCCCTCTGCAAAACGCGCGTTGGTGCAGGCCTTGTGTGGAATCGGGATCCTTCATACCTTGTAAGCCGTGTTATTGAAATAACATGTTCGCGTTTCATTTGTTGGGTGATAGTAAATTAGAACAATATTTTAGCTTTCTGTTCAAGACTGGCAGATTTTCAGTGTCACTGCCTCTTGCCCTCTCACAGTTCTTACACCTCTCACACTGAATAGGATTACTCGAGTCATTACGTGTGTGTGTGCGCGCGTTGTTGTTGTGTAACATGGCCCTGGAAAATGGAGAAGCCGGTTTGGCTGTCACCCTGTGGTGTACACGTTAGGTATAAATCTACCCCCCCCCCCACCACCACCAGGGCAGTGATACTGACTGAAAGGTCTTTAGGCCTTTCCCAAAGGAAGGATATTAACATGTTCTTATGCACAGTAGAATTGTAAATACGGGCTGATTTATCAATGTCATGCTCATACTGTGCTGGACCAGCATAGGGGGAACTGCTGCCTTTTCTGTCGTTTTCTTTACTATCTTCATTTTCCTCTACTTCTTTTGTATGTTTGTCACGCTTGTGAACTACTATTTCCGGGGTGCCTTGATAGTCGAAGCTTGATTCCCCGTTTGGACTTCTCTGTTGACATCCACCCCTTGTCGCTCATATCACCCATGCAGTTGCGAGCGCCGTAAAAACCTTACAAAAACTAAATCTAGCTGCAAGCAAGTTTGCGATCGTCTGTCTATCCTCCATTTTGTCGACTGGACTTTGTTATGTGTTCTTTTTGTTCCATATATTATGTAATAATAATATATATGTTATTGATGGCGCAAATTAACTCCCTTTTTCGAGCTGGTGTGGGGCTTGATTTGCTGGGTAGTAAAAATTTTTTCCAGGTAGTAAATTTTTTCAGGAAATATTGCTGGACACCCTGTTCCTCAAAGAACATTTTAGTTGTGATCTTGGTAGCAGTATTATTAATAGTGTTATCGTTTTGTTTTTTAAAACCTTGTGATATCTTTGTTATTGCGAAGATTATTAAAAGGTTTTATAAATTATTTGTTTGAATAGTTATTATTATTTATGTTACTATAGTCATTATTGTCATTATTATTATTATTAATATTATTATTAATATTATTGGGTTGGGAAAAATCAACGAGAATGGTCAGAGACTCTAGAATTCTGCACTAATAACAACTTTTGCATCACTAACACCTTCTACAGTAGCAAGGACAGACACAAGGTTTCTTGGTGCCATCCAAGATCAGGCCATTGGCACCAAATCGACCTCATCATCGTCAGAAAGAAAGATGCCAACATGGTAAAGCAAACAAGATCCTTCTACAGTGCAGACTGCAACACAGACCACCTTTTTGTTATAGCTTAGGCAAAGATAGTCACAAAGAAAACACCAAGAGCTGAAAAACAAAAGAAACCTAAGATTAACATCGAAAATACCAGAGACAATGTACGTAAACGAGACCTGACGCTTGCTGCGGCCAGCCCGCCTCATCCGTGACAACATGTACAACACGCTAGTAGGCTTGCCAGCGTATGCGCGTCCGCGGATCTATTTATAGATTAGGGCGGTAAGATTGGCCCGGCTGGTTGCTTTGCTCTATGTGAACAGCTGATTCAGTATAATTGAACTGATGGATTGCGATTGACGGAAGATGATTTTAATTTAATATATGTTAATATTGTTCCTGATTTTAGCATTCATTTTAGATGAAAGGGGAGAGAGAGAGAGTAATGTTACAGGATAAAAAATTTTGCCTACCTCACTGCTTGCCTGCTCTGTTGTATTAGTTCCAATATCTCAATTTGATCCAGTTTAAAGGTGCTGAAAGACAGCTGCTTTCCTTTTCTTGCTGTCTGTGTGAGATTGTGCCAAGCATTTCACTTTATGATGCAGTCTGATGTTTGTGAACAGATTGATAATTAAATAATGTGTGTCACATCTTTCACTTGGGCAGTTGAAATTGGTGCTAGATTGTGTGGCTTCCATAATTTTCCGAATCAGCCTATACCGCAGTCCTGGAACATGAAGTGATATATCGACTTCAGCACGAAATATGTCTTCCGTAGTGGAGAGAATATGCTGAAGAGCTGGAGATGGTGCTTGTAAACCAACTTTGGCGTAGTCAAAATTTTTCTCTAGCAGAAAGGTGTGGCTCACATTGGAAGCATCTTTGTTTGAGGAAACAAGATTCACACAGCTCTCGCAGAGGATGGGCCGAAGTTTGGAGGATACATAACCATCAATGTATGCCCATATGTTCTCTTCAGATTGCGTGAAAACAGTTTCTGGGGTTACAATCATGGCTTGCTGGAGTTGCTTGGGCACATCTCGTTGTAACCTAGTCCTGACAGTGCTGGGAGCTCCTTTGCTGGTGATATGTTCAATATTGAACAAAAATGCATCCAGGTCATCTTTGCAATTTTTCCGCTCTCCTGCAACCATGACTGAGTCCACCATCACTTGCCTGAGGCTGCTCCTGAAGTTCTTAGCATCCGGGTTGAACCGGTGTCCTCCTTTTCCTCTAATGATGGAAAACAAATTCTCCAAACAGTCTTGGTTTAGTCTACTGGTGACTAGATGATGGAAGTTGTGTACTGCTTTGAGCTCTTCCCACAGCTGTAATAAACAATTTACAGAGAGTTTCCAGCCTTCGATACATGGGAGTGTGCCAGTTTTGTTTTTTGAATTTACTGTCTCCAACCAGAGTGCTATCTGCTCGAGGAACTTGACATGTTGTGAGCCAGGTGTGATAGCATGTCTCAGCGGACCACAGCACGAAAGAGACCTGCTGTTGAAACAGTTAAATAGCTTGTCAAACTGCTTAATAAAATTGACTGTGTGTCTGGCTTCTTGTGGTAGCGCTCCCAGGGACATCATGGAGTAAATTCCTGCAGCGACTGTGTGGCTTAGTACTTGTGTCGCAAGCGAGACGCTGAGGTGAGCAAAGGCAGGCAACCGAATGTGGTGGTTTGTAAGTTTCGGTGCCATTCTGACACTCTGCTTCGAATCCATTGAATAAAATTCTTCAATGTACTTCCAGGAGACATCTTCTCCACCAACCTCAAAGCCTGTCTTCTTCATGTTGTTGCGTACACTCTTTATTAAATGAGGAGGGTCATACAAACAGAACATTTTGTGACCTTGCAAGATGAAATACGGCTCTTTTGTCGTCACCCGATTTCTAACACTTTTTTAATGACATCTACAGTCAAAGTAGTTAACATTTTGTGTTTAGTGGGTCCTTTTGATAAAACATAAGAGACAGGCTGTTTCCACTTCATGGTTAAGCCACGAATCATAAAGACAAGGGCGTGGTTTGCCTGATGCTGAGATCTTCCAAGGACTCCGAAATCCTCAAAAACTTCCACCAAATCCCCCGAAGGATCACACACCGCACTTTGCTGAATAGACATTTCATCAAACATGATAGCGCAAACCTTTTCCTGCTCAGACATTGCGTCTACTTTGATCTTAAATAGTTTTAGCATGTTTTCATTTATTCCTGGGTGGATGTTCACATTTTTCACTGACTTAGTTAAAGTCTTAGGGCTGGGCAGGTGAAAGACTTGCTGTAAGAGGCGGTAGGCTTTTCTGCTTGCATGGTATATTGACAGAGTAAAACTCTTTTCATGGTATTTCCACCTACGAGCATTCTTACCAAGCTTGCTCATACGTACTCGGGACAGGACAAAGTTCTGAGCATGTTTGGGCAGATATTTATCTAGCAAAGCACTTAAAGTACTCATGTCCTCAGTGAAGGTTGAGTTGGCCTTTTTTGTTTTTTCAGCACAAGTAGGTTTTTTCATTTTTTTCTTCAGAGGCCAGTTCTTGGCTCTTTCCGCACACAGTTTTTTCTTCAGATTAATAATAATTTCATTTGATGTCTCATCAAATGTAGATATGGATTCAGGGTCATGGGACTCATTGGGCAAAATATCTTCTATTGCAACGAGATTCTCATCTTCAGCAAAAGATCTTTCTCATGGGGGTGGGCGGGATGGAGTACATTTAGGGGGTGGGTTAGGTACGTCAAAAAGTGTAGGAACAGCAGTTTTAGTAATTGGCTGGCGTTTAGATGCAGTTGTGCTGAAACAAATAGGTTCGAAGTGCTGGGAGCATAAAACTGTACTTCTGTGGAGTTGTTCTGGCGATTTACCCTCCAAATCCTTTCTCCTTGTATTAACGACCCACTGTTTCCATCTGATTAGAGACAAAAAGAAAAGCAAACTGTAAGGCCTGTGATTTTTAATCTGTTGACAGTCCACCCTTCATCCCCAGCCCCGATAAAATGTAAGATGTAATGTCAGACTTTACATGCTGTATGCTCACACCACATTTCCCTATCCCCCTTAACACACACGCACTCAATGACCTAACCTAAGCCAAACAAAATTCTTTACCGCACTACAGCTATCTTTAAATTTTCAAGTCTATAACAATAAATTACAAGTACAACTACAGTACTCTTGTAGCTCAGTATGGGACCCTTATACAACAACAAATATTGATACATTAGAAAATGGAGCCTTAGAAAATATGCAAAGAAGGGCTGCCAGTTTTGCTACAAACACCTTAATTCAAGAGAAGAAAGAGATACGTGTACCTCACTTCTTCAAAATCTGAAATGGCTACCTCTATCAGAACGCAAAGCTCGAGCAAAAGTCACACTTTTAAACAAAGCACTCAAAGGGGAGATTGACATGTATATATATATATCAAAAAAACATCCAACATTACTCCAGAGTCAGACAAGGAATCCCAACAATTCCTTCGTTCCATATAGATTCTATGCCAGGACAAAATATGCAGGAATGCTTTTTATTTAAGAGTCGCTGAATGATAGATCTATGACATTCTGAGTAGGCCTACAACTATTCTCAGTCACGTACACCACTCTAGTACATGTACTAGATCTAGATCTAGATATAAATCTAAATCTAGCGTTGTAACACTCTTGAATATCTGGCTAGATCTAGATCTATCTACAACTGGATATAGGCTAGGCCAGTTTCAACCTGTACTTGATCTTACGGTAAGCTCAGTACACCTAGGCTAGGCCTGCATGACTGTTTACACCCGATCTAATCTAGATGATCTAGTAGTACCAGCCCATTACTATAGACAGAAACTAGAATCTCAACACTAAACAAATTAAACTCATTTTACTTACCTCTCTGGATCTTTGGGAAACCGAAAGAACGCTAAATCCGGTCTTTTGTTTTTCGAATTTGTGCAATTTATCGCAGCACACCACTTGCAATGTGTGTTCTTTGCGTCAGCCATCTTGGCTTGAACTTACCGCCCTTATTTCTGTTGCTAACCGTCTGGCCAGATTCGCGAAAGCGCAGGGAGTATCGGGTCTCGTTTACGTTCATTGTCTCTGGAAATACCAAAGACCCAGCGTTAAAGGCAAAATTTCAAGAACATGTTAAAGAAGAGCTCCAACATCTAGATAGCTCATCCCCAGACAACATGTGGAATAGCATGAGATCAACAATTTATAATTCTGTGTCGATTACTTTTGGAATAGAAAGACCTTGCAAGGAGGAATGGGTTGAAGCCAGTGCATCAACACTCGAACCACTACTCGAGAAAAAGCGTAAGATCCTGATAGAACACAACACAAATCCAACAGAGAGTACAAAGCAACAACTACGTGCCATTAAAAATCCAACCTTCAAAGAGAAACCAGAAAGTGTGCCGATCAGTACTGGGACAAGTTATGCTCAGAAATCCAACAGGCCAGCGATACAGGTAATATCAGGAAATGTATGAAAGCATCAGAGTTGCTATTGGACCAACAGCAAACAAAGTGGCACCTCTAAAGTCTGCGACAGGTGAACAGCTGACAGACAAGAAGAAACAAATGGAAAGATGGGTGGAACATTATTCAGACTTATACTCAAAGGAACTACATGTTGATAGACAGCTGCATGAGGCCATTCCTCAGCTCTCCGAAATGTCAGAACTTGATACAACACCAACAGAAGAAGAACTCTCCTCTGCAATCGATGAACTCGCTTGCAGAAAAGCAGCAGGAAATGACAACATACCTACTGAAGTACTGAAAGAGAACAAAGAGACCCTCCTCCCATATCTCTACAAGCTACTAACGACTTGTTGGCAGAAAGCAGAAATTCCACATGACATGAGAGATGCCAAAATTATCACACTCTACAAAAACAAAGGGGACAAAGGAGATTGCAACAACTACAGAGGTATCTCACTGCTAAGCATCACTGGAAAAGCTTTCGCTAGGATCATCCTGAAGCAACTTCAGAAACTAGCAGAAAGAGTCCTATCAGAGAGCCAATGCGGTTTCAGATCAAACCGCTCAACAATGGACATGATCTTTTCTATTCATCAGCTACAATAAAAATGCAGGGAGCAACAACTGCCATTGCATACTGCGTTCGTCGATCTGACAAAGGCTTTTGATACTGTCAGTAGATCAGGACTGTACATGGTGCTTGGAAAAATTGGTTGTCCCCCAATAATGCTAGAGTTCATCATCTCATTCCACAAAGATATGAAGGCCACCATTCAGTTTGACGGTTCAACATCAAACAGTTTCAACATCAATAGCGGAGTAAAGCAAGGTTGTGTCTTAGCACCAACCCTTTTTAGCATTTATTTTGCTGTCTTACTGCAACACGCATTTAAAGAGTCACCAGGGGATGTCTTCCTCCACTGAAAAACTGATGGGTCGCTCTTCAATCTTGCTCAACTCAAGGCCAATACCAAGATCAACAAAACAGCAGTACGAGACCTTCTCTTCGCCGATGATGCTGCTCTTGTTGCTCACAGTGAATCAACCCTACAAACAATGATGGACCGTCTATCAACAGCATGCAAGGTATTTAGCTTGGTCATCAGTGTTAAGAAAACAGTCATCCTTACCCAAGAAGGTGCAGAGCAGAGCCATATATGGCTGAACGACAAGGAAATTGGGACAGTGGACAAGTTCTGTTACCTGGGGTCTACCATCAGCTATACTAGATCACTTGATTATGAGATCAACACCAGGATAGGGAAAGCAGCAACAACTTTTGGAAGGCTGACAAAACGAGCATAGGAAAACAAAAGATTAACCGTCAAAACAAAGATCAAGATTTACGAAGCATGTGTCCTCAGCACACTCCTTTATGGATCTGAAACATGGACCTTGTACAGCAGACAAGAAAAGCGCCTCGACATTTTCCATCTCAGATGCTGCCGCAAGATCTTAGGCATTTCGTCGCGTGACAAGGTTACAAATGTTGAAGTGTTGGCACGCGCAAACCTCCAGAGCGTGACAACTATCCTGTGTTTAAAAAGATTGCGGTGGCTGGGCCATGTCAAGAGAATGGACGAAAACCGGATTCTGAAGCAACTTCTCTATGGAGAACTTGCCCAGGGAAAGAGACCAAGAGGAAGACCGAAATTGAGGTACAAAGACACCTGCAAAAACAGCTTATCTAAGCTTGGAGTAGATGTTAGCATCTGGGAAGAAATAGTTGAAGACAGGAAAACATGGAGGAAAATGATAAAGGAACGAACTATAATGCTAGAGAGCAGCTTTAGAAACAACCAGGCTGAGAAGCGCCAACGACGAAAGGAAAACAGCGGAAATATAGAGCTTCGATCTACGATACTGACATGCAAGCACTGCTACAGAATCTGCGCTTCAAACATAGGAAGAATTAGCCATGAAAGAAGCTGCATGAAGAAAACTTTGAGACCATCGTAAGCTAAATTTACAGTCTGTATAGACGAAGAGCCATATATATTATTAATATCTTTATTTCTATTATTATCATTGTTTGGTGGTTATTTTTTGATAGTGTTACTACTGTTTTGCATTCTGTTGTTTTTATCATTATCGATATACTAATGTCCTTTGTATAAACCACTCCAGTATCTGTCCCACCACGTACCAGAACTGAGGTCAACAGCGGTGGACATTGTGTTTACGGTGGCCAAGGCCGTGGTCACTCATGTACAGATGTGGGAGGAGACTGACGGAGAGGAGATGGGGAAGAAGAAGGAGAAAAAGAAAAGCAACCGTAAGAGAAAGTCCCTGTCTTCCGATACGAGCGAGGCTATGTCAACGACCGGGTGTGTGGCAGGTGTGCCGGAAGGGTCGACGGCATGGATGGGCGCTCTGGTGTGTCTGGGAGAGGTGGTGTCTGTGTGGTCGCCGAGAGCCGCAGACCGAGCAGCCAATCAGAGTCTGGAAGCGGTGCTGAAGAAAATGATCGCGTCTGTCCTGAAACAGCTGAAGGGCTATCAGTCTGACAAACAGGTCGGTAGAGGGGTTTTTCTTTTTGCACCCTAATAATATGTTTGTTTGGATTTTTACAAAATATAGTCTTGTTTGTTTTATTTTTATATATGATCATGAGTGAAGTTGTTGTTTTTTTTGGTTTTTGCATATATATTTTTTTTAAGTGTTTTTTTCTGTTTTTTTTTTTCCAAAGGTATTGGATATTAAAGTGTGTGTTTTGATTTTGCTTTTTATCGAAGATTGTAAGATTTCACTCTGGTTTTCGTTTAAGCTAAAAAAAATAATTTCTGTTTAGTATTTTTCAAAAGGAGCAGTCTCTGTTTTCAATATTTTGAAGATTTGAAGACAGCAGTTTTTGTTCTTGATTTTTTAAATGTACGATAGTATAGTTTGATCCTGGCTTTTGGTTTGGGATTTTTAAATTTTAGAAAGTAAGTTGCTTTTCTTTTGTATTTTTAGAGCTGTCTGTCAGTGAAACAGGTTAATAGAAGATTTTGTTATTCTTCATGTTTTTTTTTGGTTTTTTGTTTGTGCTTTTTTTTTCCGAAGATTGAAATTTTTGTATCTATTTTTTATGGTGAATCCTTGTCAGACTTTGCTGCCGTTTTTCCATCGCCAGACACAAGATGCCCACCTGAGATTCCTGCATCAGTGTTGTCACTGTCACATGAGATGTCAGCAGGCAACGACACAGCAAGATCTAACGGCTGATTCGTCACCTGCACCTTGTGGTCAAACTAACCCTGACTCAGGCGATATCTTCAGTCTTTTCATGACCTCTGACCTCTGTGAAATGTGGAGGTCGCTGCTCTCTGTTGCTCAGAGGGAAATGTCGCGGGTTATTGCAGAAGTAGATGGTGGAGGTGTTAGTAAGAATGACGGTGTTAATGGGGGTGATGGTAGCGGGTGTGGGTATGAGAACGAGAGAACAACAGAGGATGAGAAATCGAGGGTGGTGGGGAAGGAGAAGAGGAGGGAGGAGGGGATGTGTCTAGATTTTAATGATAATGACAGGGGTATGAAGAAGGTTACCGGGGTGGTGGGGGAGGGTAGGGAGGGGTGTGTTCAGGGCGTTGGGGGAGAAGGGGATGGGGATGGTGGTGTTCCGGAAGTTTCCCTAGACGTTCTGAGTGAGTGGCCGACACGTATGACCCTGTGGCTGGATCTGCTCACGGGCATCATGGAGACTAGTGACCCTGACCTGTTCTCTCAGCTGTTGGAGGATTTGGTCTCTCAGTTGGTGAGTGTCTGTCTTGTGGGAGGATATCATTTCTCAATTTGTGAGTGGATATTAAGGGGGAAAGGTGGGGGCTGGGGAGAATTTGATTTCTCAGTTGGTGAGTGGATTATCGGGGAGGGGGGGGGAGAAAGGATTTTTTTATATAGTTGGTGGATGGATGTCCAATTTGATGTCTTGATGGTTGGAAAGGAGTGGGAAGGGGGTTGGGAGCATTTGATCTCTCAGTTGGTGAGTGGACATGTGGAGGGGGGGGGGAGGGGTAATGGATTAGACCTATTAGTTGTTTAAGTAAGAAATAAATACTTTATGTTTCTACAGTGTAGTGCAATCATTTTTTTAAAATGCTCTTTTTTTCCCAGGGAAGTGCAGGTTGGGGGTTCTGCTCTTTAACTCTTTTTATCCGGGCTACGAGTATACTCGTAACGAGGACCAGTCCGGGCTACGAGTATTCTCGGAACAGCGATATGGTCATGTCAAAGAAGCTAGTTCTGCTTGTAATTACCAAAATACGCAAATACGGCGATGCTAGCTCTGCCTGAATATTTTAATTTTCCAATGAACTGTGGTTTCTTTGTTTTTGATGGGTGTAGAAGCTTGAAAGTTGTCTCGAAAACGCACATTCACGACCGACGAAGTATTTTTTTTAAGTGGCGCTGGGTTGTGAGGGGGAATGATACTAATTTGATGAAAGTGGCTCTGAAATAAATGCCGTAAATTCCGTTTTGGATGATAAGAAACAGGACTTAGACTCATCAAATAGCGATTCAGATCATGGTGAAGGGGTCGGTGCTGGAATTCGTGCTCGATGGGTAGATCTAGATCTATAAAATCCAATAGGACGTCGTGGGCGCGGCAATCAGTGTCAAGTTCGAGGGTGGAATACACCTCAAAATCTACATTGTGCTATTGGTGTATTTCCTAACCACATACATTTGCAAAAGCTACATTCAATTTCTAACTGCCAAATTTCCTTAAAACCTCAGAGTAAATGTAAGAAATATAGCACTTTGAACTATACGCACTGACTTCCGACTCATACGGCGCGACGGCCCCAGGACGGGCACAGAGTCCGTGGGGGTACGGCTAGGATAAAAAGAGTTAAATGAATTCTCAGATTTAATGAAGTGTCATATAATTACATCACGATTATAGTAGCTGAAACAGACTTATATGTTAACCTACTCCCCCGCACACACACACCACACACACACACACACTCACACACTCTCATGCACGCTGATTCTCACACTGAACCTCAGAACCTCACTCAAACCCTCACACTGACCTTCACACAATTCCCACTGACCGTCACACTGACCCACACATTGACCCTCATGCTGACCCTCACTCTGACCCTCACTCTGACCCTCACACTGACTCTCGCTCACACTAACCTTCATGCTGACCCTCACACTGACTCTCACTCTTACCCTCACCCTCACCCTCACACAATTCACACTGACCCTCACACTGACCCTCACACCTGTCTGTATATCTCCCATGTCCAGAGTCCAGCTGGTCAAGTGCCGGAGCCTGTGGTGTACCTGCTGTGTGCTGTGTGGCAGCGACTGACCACATCCCCACACCTCACGCCGGCGCTCACTCACCTCTTTTTCTCCCACATGTACCAGGTGAGGCCTCGCCTTTGTCGGCTCATTGTTAGATTTATAAAATAAAAAGTAAAACAAATGACATTTTATTGATCCCAAAAGGGCTTTTTGGTTTACAATGGCAAACATATACATACACACACACACGCGCGCGCGCGCACACACACACACACACACCATACATACATACATACCATACCATACATACATAATATACCATACATACCATACCATACCATACCATACCATACCATACCATACATACCATACATACATACATACATACATACATACATACATACATACATACATACATACATACATACATACATACATACTGTACCTGTTTGTGAAATTTCATCACTTTGGTCACCTAAAATTTCCGAACCACTTAACTTTCGAATTTGAAAAAATGAAGGGTGGTTCAGAATCATTTAAAAGGTGCACAGTTATATTAAGGAGTCTGAAGTCTCTGTAGTTTAATTTTCAGTTTTTCATTAGTTTGGTCTAGATCTAATCTTGGGAAAGTCCGTCTTCTAAGACGTCATTGTGCACTGGTTCCACAGTTACTTGAAGATCGATTCTTTTGAATCCGTTCATCGAACGGGTACCCAGCTAGTATTATAAATACATTCATGCATTGATACATACACATATACATTCATAAATACACAATTAAAATTGTTGTTGTGGTGAGGGAACTGATGGATTTGTTATTTTTGACAGCGTGATAAGTGCAGGTTTGCTGCAGTTGCTGTAATGTTCCATAGAGTGTGTTTCAATGTTAGGTCTCCGAGGGAAAAGTGTAGCTCTGATATCATTTAGGGCTGTACAGTTTCATATGTATAGCCACACAAAGGACACATTGGGGGTAGGATTAGGGTACGGTTGACTTTGATTATTTGCCCTCAACACCCTCTATTTTATGAGTAATGTTCTGCCTGATGTTTTTGTTGTGTTGAAGTTAGATTTGAAGTGGTTAGAAGATGCTGCTGCTGATCTATTTTCACCCCCCCCCCCCCCTCCCCCCTTCTTTCTCTCCCTGTTCTTCCTAGTCTCTATCTGCACTGCTGTCACTACTGGAACATTTCGAGTCCCTCAAGGATTCGAACTCACAGACAGACACGTATGTCTCGCACAAACGTCGACCTGTGCGGAGCGTGTCTAGATTTCTCATTGAGGCAGTGACTGATTTTGTCCACTTAGGGAAAGTGAGTTTTGCTTTGTACAATGAGTTTTGTTTAATTTTTGTACTCTTGAGTTTTGTTAATTTTTTGTACACTGAATTTTGTTTATTTTTTGTTCAAAGAGTTTTGTTTATTTTGTTGTAAACCCTCGTACTCTTGAGTTCTGTAAACTTTTTATACACTGAATTTTGTTTATTTTTTTGTACACTTTGTTAATTCTTTTTTGTACACTGGGTTTTGTTTGGTTTTGTACAGAGTTTTGTTAAGTTTTGTACCCTGAATTTTACTTTGTTTGTTTTTCTTTTGTTAGTGAGTTAGTTTTTTTTCTATTCAAGCAACCTCTTTAAGCTGAAAAGCTGGCTGAATCGAAGAAAATTCATTGGTCCCACATATTTCAGTTTAAGTGGACTCCATTAATTGTATATATAAAGACATATTTGTAAAATTCATGTGTAAATGTATATCAATTATTGAATTTTTACATTCCATTGTCCCCCTCCATCCCCCCTTCTGGCTCTCCCTCCCCCCCCCCCTCCCACCGCTGTCTACACTTTCTGCTCCCCTCCCCCCTCCCCCCATCTCTCTTTGTAACTGTCTCCCTTTTCCCCCACCCCAACCAGAGCGTGGTGACCCCTCGTATGACCTTGCTGTGCCTGCATGCGGGCATGACCTTCACCTTGGCCTCGGCAGCAGACGTGATGAGTATTTACCGACTGTTGAACACGACCCTGGTCTATCACACCAACAGTGCGCTGAGCGCCATACCAGCCGTTCTACATCTCCTCAACAATATCCTTTTTGCGCTGGGCTACAATAAGAACACTTGTTTGTCATGAGTTTGTTTTGTTACTGAGGTCCAATCAGATCATTTTTATGTCATGGCTTAGACTCTAGGTTTGTTCCTGGGGACCAATCAGATGGCTTGCTTGTTGAGGGTTTGATTTTTTTTTTTTACTGGGGTCCAATCAGATTGTTTGTTTGTCAAGGGTTTGACTTGTCACTAGTTCTGGTCTTGTTCAATGGAGAAAGTGCAGTATGATTGTGTAAGTGTTTTCAGCCTCCATCGACACTGTTTTTAGATGAATTAGCAGCCAGGCTGCTTCTATACTGCTTATCAGGACCAACGCGCTGAGAGTGATACTTGATAAAAGGTATATTTTCTCTCAGGAATCAAACTATGTGATCTGCATGCTTTGAAGAAGAGCTTTTCCACTACACCACTGATGATACTGGTTTGGGTGATGTGTAAAGAGAGGCGAGGTAGGGTGGGAAGGGGTAGGACACGAAGGAGGGCTTATACAGCCATCTGATGTGTTCTAGAGAGTAGACAGAGCTGATGGGGAAAGGGGAGACATGTGCGATGGTCTCTCTGTCCCTCTGATGTAAAGAGATACCCGTGGCAAGGGGGAAGGGGGTTGGTTAAATGTTGGAGGGCCCACCTGTCTGAAGAAGAGGGGGGAGGGTATGTGTCAGAGATGTAGGGAAGGGAGGCGGTGGGCTGAAGAAGAGGGGGGAGGGTATGTGTCAGAGATGTAGGGAAGGGAGGCGGTGGGGCTGGGGGAGGGCTCTCTCTTTGAGCCTGAAAAGGGGGGGGGGTGTCAGACACATAGATATGGAGGGCCTCTCTGATGGTATGATGTAAAGAGTGGGCGTGATTATCGAGACAGATATCATATGGGAAGGCCTCTCTACTCTTATTTGTCTTATCATGGTTCTCAATATTCCGCTATTTAGCAGATTTCCGCTACTGCCTTTTCCTCCGCTAAACTCTGTTACAGCTTATGCGCCACCACTTTCTATAAACATAATCAAGGTTGTAAAGGTTTGGTAAGTGACTCTTACTTGAAATTATCTTCGAAACTCTCAAATTGGTATGAAATTTGTGGTTGTCTCTCGAAAATGGTCTTCTTTCGCGATCACACGGAAAGTTCCTCCTTTTTTTAAATTTTGAGTTGAATGAGACCCACACTTATGGAGAGAGATGAGATTGTGGGGAGTTGTCGTAGCGACATGTGCAAAGGACCCTGTGTGATGTAGAGACAGGTGTGGGTGTCAGAGACATTCGGCGGGAGAGGGT